AACCGTGCACACTATTAAGCCATCAGATCAGCGTGTTCTTTTCATATGATGGTGGGTGTGTTTCCACATGGTGCCTGACAGATTCACACACTTGCACAATATTCTCATCCAAACTTACTTCAGATGAGGATTACTCCATAAACCACAGCATAAATCCCCCTTCCAGGAATGATTTTAGTCAACACCTTCAGAGCACTGTTGACTGTAAAGTGTGAGGTAACTGAACTCTTCTGACCTACCTTTGTAGCAATACAATGGGATTTTTACACTGGAATGCCCAGAGGGCAGCGTACACACACACACACATACATGTATGTGTGTGTATAAACACACTATTTAAAAAAAATTACATTGCAGTTAAAGAGAATTAAATGCATTTGTTAAATACATAGTGTCAATTTAAAAATATTAATTTTATACAAACTATTATATATAGAAATACATACTACAATTACAAAAAAATTAAATGAAATAAATTAGCAAGAGCATTTATTTATTTATTTGTTTTTGTTGTTGTGTTGTGTCTTGTTTTTGAAAGAATTCTCTTATGCTCACCAAAGCTGCGTTTATTTGATTACAAATACAGTAAAAATGGTAATATTGTGAAATATTATTGCAATTTAAAAGAACTGTGGTCTTTTTAAATATATTTTAATTTAAAATGTAATTCATTCCTGTGATGTAAAGCTGAATTTTCAGTATCATTACTCCAGTCTTCAGTGTCACATGTGCTGCTTATTTTGTTTGTAAACACTGATGAACCTTTTTTTTTTTTCAGGATTCTTTGATGAATATAAAGTTCTTACTGACTTTTACATATATAAATTCGAACAGTAGTTTATATATGTAAAATAAAAATTATTTTAAATTTACATACTAGACATACTAAAACGTATTGGAATATTTGTGATTTATATTTTGCTTGCGTTTTTTTTTTATCAGACTACATGGCTACTTTTTAATGTTCATCAATGGAAGAAGATGGGTTTTGCCATTCTAAAATGTAAAATGTTTTTCTCTCAGGGGAAAAATCAGAAAAGTAGGACACTTCAATATCTCCATTTGTTCTGCGTTTAATCTCATCGCTGCCTATAGTAGAAACAACTACGGTAATATATTAAAGAGATCTCATTTGTGTTTCTCCTTCCGATGGGATGCAATGACCCCAGTTTTTTTTTTTTTTTGCTTCATTCACTCATATGATTGTTTTAAATATAGCACATCTCAGAAGAGGAGGTGGAGGATGCTTCGGTTTTTCCTCAGTTCCTCTGCTCTTCCAGTCAGTGCTCTGCCGTTGTGACCTACTTCCTCTCTTCCCTGACCCACTTCCTGCACTTCCACTCTGACCTACCGCTTGCATCCGCCGGCGGTGCCAGTCTCAACCAGGCCTCTTGTATAACATGCCGCCTGTGAGTGGCGTTCAGTCTTAAGCTGACACACACACACACACACACACACACACACTCACTCTCTCTTTGAGTCGGATGGAGTCAATGACTAACTCTCTACTCAGTCTGTGGGTGGTGCAGACGGAGACTATGTCCTTGGCATGGAGCTATTGTGTTCACACTCCTTCTGGAAGGAGATATCAAAGTGTCAGGCAGGCCTCGGAACAAGATGTACTCATTGAGGAGAAAAGAATCTGCTTTAGTTCAGATTAGTTAATTAAACTGATGAAATGAGTACAGTGAAGGTTTAATATTGATTCCAGACGTGTTATAATTGGATTTTATATATACTGTATTTTATATATACTGTATGTACCTCAGTTCTGAATGAAGTACAAGGACTGGATGAAAGAACACATTGAAATGCAATAACGTTAGTTTGTATGTATTATGTAGACTGTAAATGCCCAGGGAAGAAATATCATAAATTAAATATCTTTTAAGAGTTGTTACATTAACATTTATGCATCTGTTTTAATAGGGATATTGCTGGATTTGAATATTTGTGGAATTATTCTATTTAATATGATTGATTTTTTTTATTGCTTAAAAAATCATTGCAAATAAATCAATTGTTAATATTTAATTTTTATTTATTTTACAATTATATATATTTTTCTCCTGGATAGTATTGAGATTAAAATGGAGAGCAAACAAAGACTTTTTCAAGTTTTAGGATTTATAATCCTAATAAAAATACTGCAGTAATCTAACTAATCTAACCTAACTAGTCTTCTACCACGCTACAATCCATCACGCTCCCTAAGGTCGCAAAACTCTAAAACATAAATATTAGATGAAAAATTTTAAAAACTTAAATGAAAATTAGAAATATTGCCTTAGCAACTGAAATAAATACGTTTAATTTGAAGCACTAAAATGACTAAAACTAAAACTGAAAAATTTATTAAAGCTATATAGAAATATTTTTAAAAACTAAAACTAATTAAAATGACAAAAGCACATAATTATTTTACTAAAACTTAAATCTAAAATTAAAATATAAATGTTAAATAAATTATTACAATTATTTTCAGTAACTGAAATAAAGCTGAAATAAAATGAAAATACAAATGTTAGATGAAAAACAAACTGAACTTTGAACATTTAGAATTTGAACTTTGAAAAATTGAACTAAAAAAAGAATTAAAAATTAATTAAAGCTATATTAAAAATATATATAAAACTAATGAAACTAATAAAAATGACAAAAGCATTGAAAACTGAAAATATAAAAAGAACAAATTCAAAATAATAATAAATACTGCAAAAGTATGTATAAATAATACTAAAATAACACTGTCTTACTCAGATGTGCCGAAATACTCAAAGTTTGCACACACCAACACACACACACACACACACTAAAAAAAGAACTCTCATTTCTCAAAAATGTACATTTGCAAGTTACATTAACTGCGCCAATACTGGAACTGAGGAAAATGGTTAGTTTTTGATTTGTCATCAGTTTTCACTCAGCTTTTCTCTAAATCTGAGTCAAATCCATCATGGGGCAGATTATACTTGTACATGATTTTGGTCATATAACTCAATTTTGACTAAACGTGAACGTGTATAAATATGTTTTACCTTTGTAGGGCAGTGTGCTGTCCACAATCATTTTATAGCTCAATAATCTCACTATATGTCAACAATTGTCTCATTTGCATCTTTTATTTCTTTATATCTCAAATAAGTCCATGAAAGAGCAACCTCTGAGTAACAGCATTCTCCTCTGGGTGGGCTTTGAAGTGCTTATGTGGTGTTTTTCCTTATAATTTCCCTTCGGAGAAGAGTGACAAACATGCTGCAGAAGCAGGATATTGTCTTTCAAGACTTCCTGTCTCAGTCTGCTGACCAACGAGACAGAACCGACTGGTGCATGCACTCGATAACCCGAAGAACCAACAACACACACACGCTTTTGCATTCACTCGGCAAAAAAAAACCCAAACACAGAGGAATTGGGAGGAAAATAAAGCAGCATTCCACAGATGCCATGGCTTCCTTAAGGACACGGGCAACGTGACCTTTCATCTGTTTGTTTCTTGTGTGGCGTGTGTGAAGCGCTTTAATTAGGGGGCAGTTCTTCAAGCAGGAGGGTCTCAAACACAAACACAAGAGCGGAGGGAACTCATTTACACCGTTTAGCGCTCATTTCCACATCCATTACAGACACAAACATAATACTTCCCTATCAGCTTTTTGTAAATGAACCCTGATAAACCCGTTGTGTTGAGAGTAGTGTTACTGTATGAATGTTGAGGAAGTTCTTCTCTTTTAAGGGCCCTTGTAGAATAACAATAGCAAAAGCTATCTGAGGCAACAGGTTCTAGGAATCACGAGCAGCGCTTTATTTTCCATCTATAGATCACAGGAAGTATCATGTCCAACTTTCCACTATGGATGTTTGTATAATTGCTTTGCCTTAGGCATATTGACTTTTTTTGTTCATGCATCTGCAGCTGTTGTTATTTTTTTTTATCATTCTAATAATAGAAACACTTAATACTGCATTCAGTTCACAATCGATTTTAATATTTACTACAATATACTTGCAATAGCTACATATATAACAATACGTTATTAAAGTCTCATTTTTTTGTAATTCTAAGAAAAATTATTATTTAAAAAAATCAGAGTGCACAGGCCAAGTCCATGCCAATTTTGTGACTTAACAGAAGCTTTAAAAATATCCGTTTTTCAACATATTTAAAGGTTAATGTTAAAAGTTATGTTTTTAACCTATGCTATGAAACGATCAGTCTTCGCAAAACATAAGTTTGCAAAAATCTAATTAAGAATTCAGCTGATAATAATTTAAGTAAAATATGAATATTGCAGCAATTACAGGCTTCAGTACAGCAGAGGAAACTCTTACTTTCAATTTCACTCAGATCTAAGAGGAGCGCCATAAATTTATGGGTAACTACTTCCATCTAGTGTTCAAATTGGGGAACTGCGAATTGACTCTTTCATCAATGCATTATAATGCATAATGGTTAAAAAGATAATTAATCACGTTAATTACTTGGGGGGAATAAATAATGACATAATTTGTGATGCATTTATTCATCATTGCGTTATTTGTTGTACTGCTTTTAATTTATGCTGATTTAAAACAAACAAACAAACTAACTATTTTTCCAAATAGGATGACTTATCATATCTGCATTGCAGCAGTCTAATGAGACTATAATGAGAATAATCATTTGCAGTAATGAGAAATACAAACCTCAAAGGAGGGGCGATGTTAAGTTTTGGAAATTTAGTAGCAGGATTTTGTGGAACTTTTGGAATGCACAATTCTGTTACGCACCAATTATGCAATAATATTTTTTTCTGTATCTTCTGTGTTGCACCTTTATGTTCCACAGGTTACTGTATTATTCTTATACTTATTATAGTAAACATGGTTTCAAAGAACGTAGGTGTTGTAGAGATCAAAGTAAAGCTAAAATCCGAGTCTCCGTCTAATAAAACTCAAACCCCATTGGTCCGCTCCCATGCACCTGTTCGTCATTTCAACCAATCACAGCGCGACCTCAAGCACCTCCAAGATGGCGACGTCCATCCAGAACCGCTGTAGGCACATTCTGTGTTGGCAAAATACCCGCAGTAACTAATAAAAACAAAGTAAGACATATGCGGCAATACAGTTAATAACATCGTTTTCGCCGTTGGATATCGGCACATGTCGGTTGACGGCGTGGGGTTCGCTTTCATGGCTGTTTGAGAGTGAAATTGGGCGTCCTCTCGCCATGGCCACCGACAACAGGATTCATTTCTGGAGGAGAAACCCAAAGGTTCCCGGGAGGTGAGTTTAATCATTTATTTCCTTTTTGAAGTAGTTTAAGTGTGTTCTTTTGTACTCAGAAGTCATTTTATATTAATGTATCGACTCTGACCAGCTGCTTTGTTTACTAGACACCGAGGCTATGTGCCAAAACATAATGAGCTGTCTATTTTGACAACATGGCTATTCTGGACGTGTTTTGCGTTTTTGCTCATGTTGTAAAGATCAAAATGAGGATTATTGTGCATATTATGAAACCGCTGGTGTGGTCTCCACTTGTGGCCATATGGTAGCGAATTTAGTGTTGGTTTATATCAACCCTTACTGAAGTTCAACATGGTAACCATAGTTATCACCGAAATACCTTATTGTTACTAGTACTATAAAACTGTGGTAAATTGGCTTTTAGCTGCTATTTTAATCAAAAACATAAAGTTTCTTACACTGTATGATTTCATAATAATTTGTTATGATGTTACAGTAACTGGACTAACTGTGCAATGCTATGTACTAATAAGTGCTTGCCATGGCAATTTTTGTAAAGGCAACTACCTGCATATGCATTGCTCTGGTTGTTTTCTAAACAGTATTTATTTAAATGGTAATTGAACCTCTTAAAGCAGACATGTAGGTTGGTGCAATTTGTCCTTGCTGGGCCGTTTGTTTAGTCTGGGGAGAGAGTTTGCTGAGTGTGCTTCATTGCGGGTTGTTTGGATTTTCATGGCCACAGACAGAATCAGTTCATCTGACTATGCGAACGCAAGCTTGTGATGACTGGACAGTTTCCTGTAGATCAGATTTTATATCAGGCCTTGCATAATCTTGCAAAAGAGGAACTCTCATGCAGTCAGTGTGGAAGATGTGCTGCTACTGTGGGTGTACAGCAGGCACTGAAATAAAAAATTTTCTTTAAGAGGTAATATTCACACATGATGGAATTGATTTTCAGGGCTATTTTTACTTTTTATGGGGGTATATTGATTTTCAACCATTTAAAAAATGAAGTGTTTTATATGTTTTTGTCCACTAGTTTAAATTCAGTCTTTAAAACATATATATATGTATAGTCAAAAGTTTGGACACACTTCCCATTCATGTGTCCAAACTTTTGACTGGTACTGTATATAGAATGCAGTATATAGCCTACATAAACAGAATATATATACATAAACACATTTTTTGCAATGATAACTCAAATGTGGTGATCAAACACTAATAATGATGTGACAAACATAGGCCTATGTAGTGGAGGCAGGGTATTTAACAATTTAACAATAAACTTTATTATTCAAAATGAGTCTGACATCAGTGCACTTAACAGTAAACTTCACTTATTATAAATAAGTTTACACAAATAAAACAAAATATATATAACTTGAATTAAGAAATTAAACAAGGTAACAATGTGTAGGGCAAGCAAGCTACTGCCAAACCAACAGGGGCAGGTTTATGCAGGAAGCACAGCTTTTCCAAATGTAAACATCTAAAATAAATAAATAATAATAATAATAATGAATAATATTTTTTTCACAAATTCTGTGTTGTGTAGCCTATTTTCTGGTAATCAAATGAACATAATAATTTAATTAATAATTTTAATAATTTAATTAATCATTTAATTATGCAGAACATTCGTATTTAAATAAGTCTTTGGCAGTTTAATATGAATTTGATAAGCTCATTGTGAAAGTAAAAGACGGGGGACATTGTTTATTTACTTAGCATTGAGTCTCTCCAACTAGGTGACAACGTAGCGTTAAATCATCATTCAACAGACTCAAGCCACCACTGCACTGCCGTCTATTGGACTGCAGAAAGATACTAACTTTTCAATCTGCTACGTTACTGACTGTACTGACAAACTATGCTGACACCATGATTGCGCCGCAACAGAACGTGAAAAAGTGAGTCGCGACCGTTGAAAATCATTTGAACTTTTTGACAGCACGTCATAAATATAATGAGGCATCAGTTTGCTGCATCCAGTGTAGACAACATCACTGATTATAATGGGTTATATATTCTACACCGGACGCGAGCGGTGCGGCGTCACAAAATACAATAGAAATTCTATTGTATTTTGTCACGCCGCATGATGTGATGTGACTGATGTGATAAGCATGAGTTCTGGGCCGTGCCGTGATGTGCAGATCAGCTCTAGTCTCAAACGTCACTGAATCTGCTGTTGAAAATGAACCATCCATTCATCATATCATCATGCAAAACTAAGAATTAGAATCATTGTAATGTGACGATCAAATATAGGTGCTGGTGGGTGGCAGGCAGATAATTTATTTGAAGCAGCGGACTCGGGTGAAGTTTGAGCTCATCCGCGCATCTCTACACTACACTGACCTGGGTCGCCAGTAGCAAACAATGGAGCGATAGAGACAGGAGACAGATATATCTGCGACAGGCTCATATCGGCCGATAATATCGGCAAAACGATATATCGGTTGGGCTCTAATTATTACAGTTTAAAGAATAGTTGAAAATTGCCATCATTTACTCACCCTCATGTCGTTCCAAACGTGAATTTTTTTTTTTCTTATGTTGAGCACAAAACAAAGATATTTTGAAGAATTTTGAAGAACCAAACAGTTGTTAGTTCCCATTGACTTAGTAGGGAAAGAAATACTATGGAAGTCAATGGGGACCATCAACTTTCTGAGTACCAGCATTCTTCAAAATATCTTCTTTTATGTTTAACATAAAAAAGAAACTCATACAGGTTTGGAACAACATGAGGGTGAGTAAATGTTGACAGAATTTTCATTTTTGAGTGAACTAGCCTATCCCTTTAAAATAACTGTTTTCTATTTTAGCCTATTTTAAAACTGTATTTTTAAAATACAGCAGCCATTTCAGTCATGAGTCACATGATTCTTCAGAAATCATTGTATAGTTGTGCTGATTTGGTGCTCAATATAATAGAATCGTTTATATTGTAAAATATTATTTCAATTATACGCGTGATTCGCAATGCTCAGGTGAAATGCTATAGTAATACTATAAATCTGCGGAAGCATTTGATATCACGCATAAGGCGCCATGATTTCCGCAATGAATGAATGGCGGATAACGCGGCGCACTGTTTTGTTTACACATACTAAAGCAGTCTTAAGAATCAGTGCTACTACTGCTTATAAATATTAATAAATCTTTATTTTTAAAGGAATAATCACATCTGTTTTCTTTTTAA